TTCTGTTTAAATACCTACATAAGGTTGCAAACTATTTAATTTCTTAGATATGCAGTTAACTTTGGTACAATTTCTATACCTACATGTTTTTCATTTCACAAACTTATTTTTATTATCAAATGAAAACCATATAAAGAAAATATTAACTATATTTAAGAAAATACATACATAGTTTGCAACATTAAGTATTTAGGAAACGGAGTTTAGTTTGGGAGTCTTGAGTTCCAAAAATGTTTTGTTTATAATTTTTATATTATATAAAATGAAATACATTTCTACAAATTTAAAAATATTTAAAACAAAAATTATCCCATTTAGTATTATTCAAAAATATTTTATCTGCTTCTGAGGAAAATCTACGGATAAATTTTTCTTCTACTTAATTTTTATACTTTATTCATATTTCAAAAAATCATTTCTAATATGTCTTAAAATTAGATATGTTATAATTAAATGTGAGCGGCAAAAGTATGGAATATATTTATTTAAAAATCAAATGTTCGTTATTTCAAAAATCGCTCGGACCCGTCGAATTATATTTTTAGTTGCACATTTTCTGAAGTAATTTTCATTTATACAGGGCGGCCCAAAAAAATTTTATGAAATCAAGGCCAACTTTTTTAAATGGAAACCCCACTATTTTGTATCTTTACTCAATTCTCCATGGAATTTTCATCATTTTTTATATAACCTAACCTATACTTATCTTTAACCGTTTTCGAGATAATGGCGTCTGAATATAGAATATGGAAAATTTTCAAAAATGATCCTGAGATTTCCCTGCTGGTTTTAAAATGAAACCACGTTTACTTACTACACAAAGTTGCTTCAAATCAGAAAAATCCATAAGAAATAAGTGATTTGGTGATTTATTTTGCTCATTAGGACGCAATGACTTGAATGTAAAAAATATAAGTATAGGTATAATTTAATTAAAAACGCATAATTTTTTTGTATATATAAAATATGATTTTGTTAAATGTCACTATTTAAATTACGAGGCAGGTTATTATGCAAATTTTTAGCATCGAACCACTTATTTCTTATGGATTTTTCTGATATGAAGCAACTTTCTGTGAAAGTTCTAATTCACACAAATCTAAGATGGAAAAATAAACGTAGTTCTATTTTAAAACCAGCAGGGTAAATCTCAGAGAAATTTTAGAAAATTTTCCATATTCTATATTCAGACGCCATTATCTTGAAAACGGTTAAAGATAGGTATAGGTTAGGTTACATAAAAAATGATCAGAATTCCATGGAGAATTGAAAAAAAAATACAAAAAGTGGGGTTTCCATTTAAAAAAGTTGGCCTTGATTTTATAACTTTTTTTTGACAACTCTGTATAAATGAAAATTGCTTCAGAAAATGCGCAACTAAAATTATAATTCGACGGATTCGGGAGATTTTTCAAATAACGAACATCTGATTTTTAAATAAATATATTCCATACTTTTGCCGCTCACGGTATAAAGATTGTTCTAGAAATTACGTTCAAAAAATTTTCAGTACATTATGCAAAATAAGTAATTTTTTGATATGACTAATCAGTCTCCTAAGTACGGTAAAACCAGTGATTATGCTCTGTATAAAATTTAAATTTGACATAATTTTTTATATATGACTTATTTGTCAGTAACAAATTACTTTTAACTTTTCCAATATCTGTTATAGACCTCAAATATTTCAATTACTTTGTAGTTTCAATGGTAACTGCTACTTCAACATGAATTCCATTGAAAGTCAAATGGATTTTTTTTTAACAATTGACTTTTTAAGTCAAAAACTAAATAAAACAAAGCAAAACACTTGAAAAATAATATACAGGGTGTTTTTAAAAAAAGTAGCACAAATGGAACCGGTGAATTTACAACTAAAAAAACACATTTTGCAAAAAATGTTTAGCCCTTAGGAGAAACAGCCTCTCAAGGTTTCCAAAAAAAATATAGAATAGCGGCTGTAATTTGAAAACCAAAAGAGTTATAACAGTCAAATTTTACACAAACTTTCTCCTAATGCATGTACAACTCCTCAACAATTTTTCGAAAATTTCTGCCCTTTGGAGGGGATTGAAATAAGTATCCCCTAAGTTATTTTTTGTTACAACTTTTTTATTTGACAAAAATTGAATATTCAAAAATACGTATCAGATAGCCTGGTTTATTTTAAAACTTTTCTTTTCACTTTTTAAAACTAACCATTTATTAACAAAAAATTAATTAATTGATTAATTAATAGGGAAAAAACTTATTTTATCAAAATTAAATTTTATTTTTTTCTATATAAACACCTACAAAATCCCTGAATTTTTACATATACAACCATTTTGATTAACATTGTAAGGCAAGAGCTAAACATTGATAAAAACACTAATTCATGCCCTTTTTCTAAATATAATTTTTAGTACACATAAATCTTGGCTAATTTGATTACGTTTCAATATACAGATTTCTTGAATTTTTTGTTTATCCGTGACAGCTGTCAATTGTTAAACAATTTTCAAATTAGTTGCCACATCGTTGATTTAAACTTTTTGACATTTTGAAAAAACAAAAAGTTTCTTATTTTTCATGAATCGTTGAATATTTTTTTGTCATTAATTTCCTGATTCTACCATTTTTCCAATATAATGTACCAAATTATATGTGCGAATGTGCGATAGGTATTTCCAAAGTAATTTTCTTTAATAAAAATAAATAGTCAAATTTTGCAACCTTACAAAGTTACAGGATTTAAAAAAAAATGAATATTTAAAGATAATTTCTTTAATTTGTAAATATTTCAATGACAGTGTGGGGGAAGCTTTTGAAGTATCTCAAAATAAACATTGATTTGTTTTTTAAACAAAACATGCTGAATTTAGTAACTGAATTTAACTTAATTTTTTTTATATATATTTTTTATTGAATTTTCGAAAAATACAAATTTACTTTGAAACGGGTCGCTTATCGCTCCCTTTTAATCCAATTTGGAGAAAAAAGCACTTAGGCATATTCTTATTTAATTAAATTTTACCCTTTTGCACTATACACACTTTATTAAACATCTTTTACTATTTGAATCAATACTTTTATTTTATAGGTATTATTAAGTTTCGAATAATGGTAACTAATTTGAAATCATAAACAGAGTTTAACAACAGTGCAAATTTAGATAATAAAATAACTTTATTTACATTAGAACACCTTTAAATATTCAGTTCTCTGTAACCAATAGCTACAATACAAGGCAATCCATTAGAATTCATTTTAGAAATATGAAACGTACATACCTTTTTTTTGCCGTAAATAAAATGACTTTATAAAACACCTATATTCTCTGAAAGTCCCTAGGAAAAAAAATTCACAAAATTAAATAAAACATTCAAGCACTATTAGAGAATTTGCAATTTTCTCTCAAAAATAAACTTATCTCCGATCAACCAAGATACACTATTATGTCAATTTTCATTGAAATATTAAAAAAACTCAAAAAATTACCTTTAACATATTTAAAAAATATATAATGCCTATAACTTTTTATAGAATTATATTATCCTATATCAAAATTCCTTTTCCAAATTCCTCTTTTATTAATAGGTTCTTATTTAAGTATGGCCCAGTACTCTGTATAGTACAGCAAAATGTAGTTATTTATACACGTATACACTACAAATTGTAATTGATTGCAAAAACACTCAAAAACAATACCCATACACATGGAAACATGGAAAAAATACTTAATTTCCAAGATACTAAATATTCCAGTTAACAATATATTAAATTTATTTAAATATCTTTAAAATTAATTGTTTGATATAGATAGTTAAAACTTGAAGTTATAATTTATCTTATCATAAACAAAAATCCACCGAATTGGTACACAAATATGTCAACCATTTATAAAACTATTCAGACGCACTGTTATTAAAAGCCTCCCATTTTCAGCACACTGCTGTTTTAAAAATTTGATAAGTACATTCAAATTCCTAGAATACATTTCATAAAGTCACTATTCAGTTCTTTTAAATTATGCAGGGTTAGAACTATTTAAAGGGAGATTACAGGGATATCGGAAACCGTTAGTCATACAGGGTGGCTCAAATTACAAAAAAGTTGCACAATTACGGGGCGAGTGTTTTGGTGAAAACAGATCCAAGATATCTTCGATAGNCAATCGAAAATCCAAATAACATTACCGTACAACCTGTACCTCAGGATATTATAGAAATTGGTTAGTTTTCTGTTTCTGTGTTTGTATAGCATATTTATTTCTCTTTTTGTTTTCAGATGTAGAGGATAATAATGAAGAGATACTTTCCGAATTATCAGCATCTTTGGTAGAAGACATTCAAAATGAATTTGCTGATTTAACCTTTAATACCCAAAGAGAAGTAGCAAATCAAGTGAATGCTGCCAGAGTTGATGCTCCGACCCGGGAGCAAATACAACAAGATATAGAGAGGTTACGTAATATTGGCAATCACAGACCCACATATCTTATAGCAAGCGAACGGGTTATAAGGCGAGGAATTTCTTATTTAGGTCCATTCAATCAAACATGTGTACATTGTTCCGCTTTCTACTTTCACGTAGAAAAAGGATTTCGTGATCAATACACAAAATGCTGTCAACAAGGTAATGTAGTATTAGAGAACCTTCCACCTTTGCCTGATCTTTTAAACGATCTTTTCCAAGGTTTCCATCCTCTCTCAGGTCTTTTTAAAAGACATATATTATTGTATAATTATGCCTTTCAGTTTGTGTCTTTAGAAGCAAACCTGAGGGATTTGCCACGAGGACGAGCTCCCCCTGTATATGCTATACGGGGAAAAATGTACCATCATATTTCTAATGTTAATATTAATGAACCTTTACAGCGTTATGGACCTATTTATTTTCTAGATCCAAATGAAGCTGTTAATATTCGTGGTCAAAATAATAATCAAATCTTAGATAGGCGATTGATTGTCCCATTAGAGCAATTACTACGAGATATAAATCCTTATGCCAGAGCGTACATGCATTTACGCGAACGTTATAATTTTGAATTGCAGACAATTGAAAGACTTCGAGAAGAAGCCATTCAAAATAATTTAGAACCTCTGCCCTTACAGATGCCCACTATTACATTAGAACTATTAAGTGTTCGAGGAATGAACAGGCGGCAATATGATTTGCCTAGGGTTGAAGAGGTAGCAGCTGTCTACAATTTATTACCAGATACGCCAGCAACTCCCAATATGCGTATTTATATAAGGGACGAACCCACTAGATTTCAAAATGTATCGGAGGAAAGTGAACTTAATGATCCTTTGGTATTTCCTATACTATTTCCTCATGGAGAACCTGGCTGGTATATAGGAATGCCCCATAGAAATGGTAACCGCAATATAACATTATGCGAGTATTATGCCTATCGTTTTGGAATTAGGAATAACGATCACAGGTTTAAATATGGAGGCAAACTAACCCAGCAATTCACCGTCGCCGCATATATCAAAATTGAAAATAACCGCCTTAAATTCATATTACGTAACCAAGAAAGGTTAAGAGCGACGGAATATGTTGGATTGGCGGATTATCTTCATCGTAGAGTTGAAGAAGACAATGAGAATGATGAAGCTGCAACATTGGGTAGAATGGTAATTTTGCCATCCACATTTGTAGGTTCACCCCGTCATCAGCAGCAACTGTTTCAAGATGCAATGGCAGTAGTGGGTCGTTTTGGCATACCCAGCATTTTTATTACTATGACGACAAATACCCACTGGAGAGAGATAGTAGATAATATTCCTGCAGGTCACACAGCGAATGACCATCCATCTCTCATGGATAGAGTATTCCAGTGTAAAGTAAATGAAATCATAGATGACATGCTTAAAGATCAAATTTTTGGAATACCTCTAGCTAACCTTTACGTTATAGAATTCCAAAAAAGAGGTTTACCCCATTGCCATAATTTACTCATTTTAAGGAACGAAGACAAGTTATCAAATCCTTACAGAATAGACGCGCTCATTAGCGCAGAAATACCAGATCCGCAAGTTGAACCAGACTTATATGAAATAGTCACCTCCTTCATGGTACATGGTCCTTGCGGAGAATTAAACCCACAATCAGTCTGTATGGTGGACGGTCAATGTTCCAAAAAATATCCTAAAGATTTTAGTGAACTTACAGTAATATCTGATAATGGTCAAGTCCTCTATAAAAGACCAAATAACGGTAGGACCATAACGGTTAGAGTTAACAATAGGAACTGTATTTTAGACAATCGCTGGATAGTTCCTTATAATCCCTATATCCTACTAAAGTATAAATGCCATATTAATACAGAGGCTTGCGCTACTACTCAATGCGTTAAATACCTTTATAAATATTTTTTTAAAGGGGTAGATATGGCTTTGGTTCGAGTAAATGTAGAAAATCAAGCAAACTACAATGAGGTGGAAAACTATCTGAACGCACGATATATGACTCCACCTGAAGCCTGTTGGCATATCAATCAGTTTGCATTACACAAAAATACTCACACCATTTACCGACTCTGTGTACATCTCCCCAGTAGACAAGTCGTTCGGTTTCAGCCCGGATTCGAAATACAAGCCCTACAAAACAATGAAATTACACAGCTAACGGCATGGTTTTTATTAAATCAAAATAACGCTGATGCTCGACAATATCTGTACACCGATATTCCATATCATTACGTATGGAATAATAGAACCAAACGGTGGACCCGTCGACAAAGAGGTGCAGATAAAATTGTAACAAGAATGTACTCTGTGAGTATACGTAATCAGGAATTGTATTATTTACGTTTGTTACTATTACATGTTCCTGGAGCACGCTCCTATGAAGAATTACGTACATTGAACGGGGTCATTTACGACACCTTTAAAGAGGCCTGCCAGCATCGCAATTTATTGGCAGATGACGTTGAATGGAAACGAGCTCTTCAAGAGGCGTGCTCTAGAGATATGCCATATCAATTGAGAAGCATGTTCGCTTTCATATTAGTTTTTTGTGAAGTTTCAGATGCTCCGGCGCTTTGGGATGAATTCCGAAATTATTTCATGGAAGATTTCAGGCGCCACGGTCTTTCCGAGGAACAAGCTCTGCAACAAACACTCAAATGTATTCAAACCACACTGCTGCTAAACGGCACTAGGTTGGCATTGTACGGTTTACCAGAACCTGCAGAAATCGTATTACAATTTGATCCCATAAATATAGAAGCCGAGAGAGTACAAGGTCAGGAAATGTATGAAAACCTCAATCATGAACAAAGAACCATTTGCAATGCAGTA